TTCAAACTCTATGATATGTTTTTCTTTTGACTCTATGAAGGAATTTATTTCATTTTTCAAATCATAAAATTTGTTGAGCATTTTACCTTGACTAAGCTATTTTACTCCTGAAAAGTAAACAACGTCTCCAGAATCTGGTTATAAGAGTTTAAAGTACTCATAGTCTTAGAATTGGTGATAATTTAGTCCCTTAGCTCAAATAAATGTAAAATATTTGATAAAAATTTGCATTATGTTATCCATTTTCAAAGCTTTCGCACATAAATTATCTTGGTGAAATTGCAGTAATATCGCATCAAACGTTAGTTGCCAACTAAAACCGCATGGTCTTTTATTGATTTTGTAATTCCTTCTTTTTATCCTACATAATAGAGGAACTATCCATATCTAAACCTGATGTGTTAACCAAGTTCAAAGAAAATGTATTTAATGAAGTTTATACTACCTCAAACAAATCACGAGCTTATGTAGCGTCTTTCAGTGGTACTAAATAAGCAATTACTTCAGCAATATTTAATTCGATCTCAATACTTTTAACAAAAATATCAACTTGGGCCGTGACTATTACATCGATACTTTCATCAATAACCAAAGAATAATACTTGAAAGAATGAACTTTTTCCGCTAAAGCAGTTTATTGAGGAAAATCGTACTTTGATGAAAATTAAATACGATTTAAACAATTTTTATGAAATGTTTAACTGCGTAATATGTACTTAGAAAAAAAATTTTAAAAAAAAATTATGATATCAGTTTTGATTCTTTTTTGCTTTTGATCCCTATTTTTCTAATGATGTATAATTATACTTTAAGACAAGCTATGAGTTCTTCACAAAATATTTAAATAACAAAATAAAGGTTGCGCGGCGTATTGTTTAGGCAATTTAGGTACACAACTGTTGAGACATAATGATTTAAAATATCATTCACAAGTCGCACGAAAGTCAAAATTTGAACACGGTTCAAGTAACTATGAAATTCAATTCTAAATATTAAAATGCTTTCATGTTTGACCTAGTTAGTAGAAAGTTTGAAGAAGAAACATAACGATCTTGTATTCAGTGCAACTTCAGAAATATACCAGATGGCATGCGAATATACGTGGAAAAATACATTATGAATAATATAAGTGGCGATATTATGAATCATCAAATTTTAATCAAATATTCCGAAAATTTTAACCAGGAAAATAAGTTTTTAGGATTAATTTTTTTTATTAAATAACATTTAACGTATTTTTAAGGAGTTGTTTTTTCAAACCGTTCTGAGTTCTATCCTTATTTACAGCCCTTAAAAGATTAATTTACGTTATATTTTGTAATACAATACAATATCAGCTTATTTTTTGAATTAAATAAAATCATAAACATAATTTATGTATGATAATAGACCTTACTTAATAATGTTACGTTAAAATATTTTTTTTGTAAATCTCAAAAGCGTATCTAACTTTAATTTAATAGATCTCAAAATAGTGTAATTATTTTCTTAACGTGCATGTTTGCAGTTATAAGTACATTTTATTAACGTTTAAATAAATATATTGTATCAATTTCTTTGACCGTAATTTGTTATATTTTTTCTTTTAATGTCTAAACTGTTTCTCGTACACATATATTGTCAAACATCATAAAATATTACCAACCACCTGGATTAATTGATTTACTAGGAATACGTTCCTAATATCTAATTCATATGGGTAATAAAATAATAAAATTCCATTTTTTTTTTCATTTTTAAAACTATAAAATAAACAATTATTCTAAATATTAATATTTCTATCTTAAATATAAAACAAAATAATATGTAATTTGCTTTTAAATTTATATTAAAAATATAAATAACGACTTAAGTTAATTAAAATTAGTGCCTGATATTCAGTATCCGTATTTTAGCTATGTACTTTTCTCATTTTAGTAATCCAATCTTGTATACTTAGTGTTATTTTGAAATATAGTCTTTAAGAAATTTTATAAATGTAAAGTTTTAAGTTTTTATCCGAAAATAATGACAAAGTTTTAGAATATGATTATAAATAATAAATATACATTAATATATTATTATAAATATAAACATGCATATAAAATTAAAAATTTAATTTTTTTGTAAAAACACATAATGCTATCGATTAGTTTACTAGAGTAAACGGCATAAAAATCTACATAAAAAGTTCACACAAGAAAAAATCTTGGGAAAAATAAATTTTGCGAAAATATTTCCTGAAAATTATTTAACTTACTTTGTATAAAAAAATAAAATGTGAAATTGGAAAATCAGAAAATCCAAAACATTTAAACGATTATATTATATAAGATGTTTTTAATTATTATAATTAACGTATTCATTAAAATAAAACTATGAAAATAATGTACTTAATTTAAATTAATAATATTCATTTTAAAGAGTTACAAAAAAGAAATTATTAAGTATCAGTGAATTTTCGACAGCCATTTAAAACGAAATCTGCATGTGAATCAATTAATAATTTTTTTATGACTCATTAACTATCATAAAGTGTACATATTGTTTAAATATATATATATATATAATATAGATTAATTAATTTAAAGATTTAATACATTATTATTAATAATTTATGTAGAATTACTAGGTACTATTATTTTAACACGTCATACTGATAATAATTATGTCAACACTAAAAATTAGTGTCAATATTTTTTTATTTTTTAAGTAATTTTTTGCAAGATATATTATTCCCGAGAGAATTTTCAAGAAGATTTTTTTTCTTACGTTCGTTTTTTTACAAACGCAGTATTTATTTGTGCTGTTCATGAAATATTATTTTATGTCATGCCTACAGAGTGATTTCAAATAAACTTTCTTTTTTTTTATTTTAATGTGATGTAATAAACTGTATATTATTTATCAAACGGCGGCCAATACAACGAGTGAAAAATAAATGATTTCTCTGAAAAACACTTCGACTCAATTGTTATTAATTTCTAAGAGCATACGATACAAACCAGGGGTTAGACTTTGCGTTGAATTCTACGAGTTTGGGTCGTATGTTTTCTACTTAAGTATTCTAGTCGCGCGAGTCGTTGCCAATGTTAGGAGGACATTGCCACCACCACGCACGGTTTCAGACGGATACAGGGAAAATTCGTGCAGTTTAGTACATTCTTTCCATCCTAAAAGCAAGTTGAGTTTACACGAACGCAATAAAACGAAAACAATTTTTCATCCATTGTATATGAATGATCACAACACAAGGCACTAGAAGACTAGAATATTTCCGTATGTGCATAGTAGAGTAAAAATTATTCCACAAATTTTGTTCGAAAATAGTAAAAAAAATATATTCGAAATAGTCGTGTTTGATTTTTTACAAGGTGATTGTTGTATCATCTTAAGAGTAATTTTTACGATAAATTTATATATTTTTAAACCATTTTCATTCATCTCATCTTAAGCAGAATAGATAATCTGATATTAATATTTTCAAATGAAAATATACGTATTTATTCAATATTTTATATTCCAGCCTTAAATACTAACTTGTTTGATATACATTAGGCAAGCTTCATTACTAATTTATAATTGCTCTAAAATGCACACAGGTGTACTGTTGTTGTCAAATTAATATCAACATATTATTGTTATTATTATGAAAAATGTATATATCGAATCGAATCCAATATACACATTAATCAGTCACAAGTATTATACGAAACTGAATATAAATGTATAATTTTCATCCAGCTAGTTTAAACAGATGCTGTTTTTGAAACAATTTTAAAACACGATTTGAGATTTTTCAATAGGTACCTACTTTCAGTGATAATATCTGGCATTGTTTTAAATTAGTTTTTTTCGAACCTTGGTTTTTACTGCGTATATTATGAAGGTGTTTGGTTCGTTTGAAATCGCTACATAGTAACTCAAACATTACGTAAGAACTACCGATAAAATCAAATTAAAATCTATTTGAATAAGGTGTGTCAATGGTTATTTTACAATTGAAGTTTCTTTGAAGTTATACTTTTAACGAGGTTTATTTATCCTTATGCAATGGACAGGTATAGGTCTTCAAAGATGACATTTTAAGTTCACACTTTCATAATTATGACCTTTTTGCCAAATGATTGCACCAGCCAATTTGAATTTAACTAGTTTGTTTAAGAAGTAACTTTTTTTCACTCTAATATTGACATTATTAACTTCACAGCTTTTATTTTTCTTGAATTTTAATAGTATGATACTAAAATAACTGAAATCAAAAATATATCTATGATTAAAAAGTCATATATTTTATATAAAAAATATTCAATTGACTATTCTAAGGCAAATATATAATTATATGCAAACAACATGCAGCATGTATCAATCAAACCTTGACTTTTGTAGCACTACATATATATATATATATATATATATATATATATATATATATGTAGGAATGTAGATTTGTAGTTTAAATACTTAAAAATAAATAGACCAATTCTGACGAAAATTTTAGAAATATCAGAAAAGTGTATAATAAAAAATAGTCTTTGCCGAGTTTAAAAATTCCAAGCATCATATTGTATTTATTACGAAATAATTACCTATCTTAGTTGAATTAGTTCACAAATCGAGGTATATTGACGCTGATTTTGAATGTACTTTGGTATACCAAAACTATTGTGTCCCTGTATTTTATGTGAGTTAATTTGTTCCGAAGCAAAATTACACTAAGTTATAAAATTGGTTTTACTTATTATTTAACTCAAAATATTTATTAAAAAACGAAAATATCACTTAACTCAGTAACTATTTATTGAGTTTTTTACAATGTTTTTTAACTGTTAAACTAGACTTTTTTACTTAGATCTACCATTAAATTAAACATATTTTGCTTATAAATGTTATTGTTTAATCTTAATTTCATATTGACTATTATTATTATTATTCATTGTATAATATATTATGTTAACCACAATAATATTGTTTAAATTATTACAGTAGTAGTATTTATGTACTTTTTTTTATATTTATAGCACAGAGATACGCAAGAAACGCTCGCGGTTTTAGACCGGTTAGACTTAGATACAGAAAAGCCTAGTGATGAAGAAATGGCTCGAAAATTCGGTTTCGAAGAGGCGTTCTTTCAGGGTAGACTCACCTGGTGGCAGCGTTTCAAGCCCCAGCTGTGGTCCATGTTCGACGAACCGTACTCGTCGAATGCTGCCAAGGTATGTAATTTTAATTATTTTACAATACGACTAATGTTTATTGTTAATCATTTGTATCCACTCGAGATGATTCACCGTTGGTGGCTTGTTTCTATTTTTATTTATAGGTACTACAGCGTTTACAGTTTAGTTAATTTTATATCTAACAAATAAATCGAGAACAAAGAACATAAAATAATATCTTTATGTATTGTAGAACTAAATTTTTAAATGTATAATGGCTAGATGATGTAGACTGATTCTCAAATATAAAAATTTTAATAAATCGTATTATTTTGATTTCAACGTATTTCTTATCATTTAAATTATTAAAAATCTAAAATTTAAATAGAGCTAATTCCTCCTTACGTAAGAAATCTCATTCTTTTAAAATATTTTTCAAATTGAATTGATATTATTGATTATATAATAAGATTTAATAAGCGTTAATTTAGTTTTGAACATTCTCCCATATTGATCTAACAGTGATTGACTAATTCAATATTTATCTAAAAGGGTGCGAACTCCCTTATCAAGGTATTATACTATTGTCAACACTAAAATAGATTAAAACATAACGATGTTGATATAGCTAGTAATGAAAGGGTGTTGACATTTCCGTGGATCTTTGATTCATGGTGTATTATATTATTATATAATAGATATTAAATCCTGGTCCAAAAAAAATATGATGTATAATAAAATCGTTAAAGGGATACACCATAATAAAACTATAATATATTGTTTTTCCCAAACCAAGTGAGTCGTGATGAGGGAATAAGATTTTTAGTTAGACAAATAGCATTCAATACAAATGATGTTCACTTACTACCGATGCGATGTAGATTATTTGATAATGGTTAGAAATATCCGTATGAAACAAATAATATAATATCATATTAATAATACGAACATGAATGTACATAATATATGGTTACCCTATAATACTAATCTGTAAATTCCAATTCGTCACTGAATGAGCTTCACGTATCTATATTATTCTATGATTTCTGTATACATATCAGACATTGAAATTCCGTCCAGAGTTCAAAACATACAAAAAGAATATAATATAAATTATGTAAATTAACATGTATATCTTCATGAATATACTCGGTGTAAAAATGGCCAAAATTAAGTAAGATTTATGTTCTATATTGCTTAAAAACCATTTTGAGTTATCAGTATGTATAAAAATTAATGTTAGATTAATTTTTGTACTTTTAAGCTTAAATAATTTAATGTTTTTATTGTCTTTGGTATGGCGAATGCAAATACCGCCACTACTCGGTGAAGAGGGGACATTGCAGTTTATATATGATATTAAAATGTTATAATCAAACTGTTTGTGATTATCATTTTTTCTACATAGTCATACAAAGTGCCCTACATTCCTATTATCTTGTACATTATTTCGACCATTGTATAAATTCTCACAATATTTTCTCATTTTATTATTTAACTATATATTAATTTTTATCTAAACGAAGTTCAAAACCAACATATATTTATAAATATATACATCATGTTAAAAAATTTAGTATAATATTGTATAATAATATATATAGATTAATTTATGAGCGTCCAAACTTTAATAGTATTTTCTCATTTTATTAAAACAATATTCTTTATACTTCTTGTATACAATAAAAAATAACACTATTATTCTTAAAGGCCGTTTTAATAAAATTTGTTATAATTATTATTCTTCCGTCAAAGTTTATAATCCTCAATATTTCAATTAAATATTTTACACCATTTTTTTTCTTTTAATTAATAAATTCAATCATACGAGTTATAATGAGTTTAATTCAAATTATACAGTAAAAAAACGCCCATTAAACCACCACTTTTTGGCTTTAATCGTATCAAATTTTAAACTTATAAATCTTTTATCATAATATCACTATTTTTAAATAATGTATTTTACTATTGTATAAATTTCATATAATTTTTGTCTTTAGAATTACTTCGGTAAATCTATTTCAAATGAAAATATAAGGTTGGAACATAAATTTGACTTTTATTCATATGCATCTGTTTTCTGTCTATCATCTGTAGTTTTTGGCAATAAAATAAAATGAAACACACATATTTTAATCCAGACATTTGTTTCCTCACATCTTAAAAAAAAACTCGTAATCACATACAGATGCATAACATTTATACTTGTTTCTTTAAAGACCTATTTCTAAAAAAATAAATTACAAAATTACATTATACTATATTTCGTTTGGTTAACGAATCCATTCAATTAACTTGTTTGAAATCTTTGTTCTTGTAATAGAAACTAACAAACGTTTAAATTAAATTAAAATAATATATAGTTATCAAATAATTTTACTAAATTAAACTTTTATAGACGCATAAAAAACCAATTCAAAAACAATTATAAATAATAACTGTGAGACAACTGAAAACCACGAATAAAAGAAAAAATACTCTTGGCCTTTTCGACGATTTATAATATTCAATTATTTTTATATGAATAGAAACTATACAAAATTATAATTTCTATTCATTTTATGAGAACTATAACGTTTAAAATTCATTATTATTTTTTGAACGTCATAGTATAATATTTTCATGTGTATTTATTAACTAAAAAATTTTTACAAAATAAAATTGGTCGTGTTATATTATAGACATTATCTATATAGTATTATTTATAATTTATACATTTATACATTCAAACATTTTTTAAGGTGTGATCGAATAGCTCTCGTAAGCATATAATCTCGCAGTTTTTTTAACATTATCATGCCATTTTATTACGCCCTTTAGCGTATGATAAACAATTTATTAGAACTAACAAAATTGAAACGTTTAAAATATTATTATGTACAGATAATGTCTGTAGAATACTTCATAAAAACATACTTAACCATTGAAACAGATATAAATTAGACCCAATGAAAAGTATAAAATATGTTAACTATTATCCCATACATCAGAAGTATTAAAAATAGTCTAGAAATAAAGTGTACATCAAATTAGTAGTCAAAATATTTAATAAATAATTTATTCTGCAAACGATTTTTAAATATGTACAAGAAATGATTGTAGTTACAAGTATTCAAGGGTATTAACTGTCATTTTTTAAGTAGTTAAAACAAAACTGCAAATATGAATCTTGGACATTCTAATGTAAATTATGAAAGCCATTTAATCATTTTTTCATTATCCAGAGGATACCATTTTCACTATCCTCCAAAAAGTGATGAATGTTTTTTTTTTTTTTTTTACTATAATGAACTAAATAAATGTAAAATTATGTATATTATATTTATACAAAAGAACAATTATTAAAATAATATATATATTCAAAACTAAAATTAAATATTAAATAAAATATAATAACATATCAAATACGATATACATTATTTTTATTTACTTCATAGTTTTTGATTTCCACTATAGATTATTAATTATTGATTCAATAACTTACAACTTTCTGACCGTAGTGCATATTCTGATACGACCCAACAAAAAGCTGCAGCAACGTTAACAGATAAAAATTACAACCCACAAAACAGCTGCTACTCTAATGAGCCAAATACTTGCGTTGCTTTTTGTGAATTTATTAACTTCCCCTATGGTACGTAGTTTTATCAAATTATTAAAAACAACATTATATTGTCACGTTTATCGATAGGCAACAGTTGAATTATATTACTTTGTGAAATACGGATACAAGGTGCAAATATGATAGATAGTACTTATGTGACACGTGCATTACTCATAAAACGTTTAATATATTTTACAAACACGTACAGGTAGCTAGTATAGGTTTACTATCTAGTTTTGATTAAAACTATTTATATACACCCTATACACACGTGTGAAATCTTCGACAGTAACTACTTGTTTAAACGAATTAAAACTAATTATAATGCACGATGACAATGTAATATATTTAAACATTTCATCTCGTCAACAAGACAAGTTAAAAATTGATTTTTTAACTGTGACAAAATTATATTCCATTAAAAAGTTATAAACACTACATCACTACTACGTTTGTTATTAGAATCTTATACTCATAGCATCATTATTTATTTTTGCAGAGCTATTACAACGTTCTGTTATTAATAAATCAATATCTACTGATAAAATGTATCGCAATAATAATTATTAATACATTAATCCCACCTATAATATTTTAAGTCAATGGTTTAACTTCTAAAAACAACACTTAACAAATACAAGTAGTAATGCTTCATTTATTACTACAATATTATTCACTGTTATAACAGTGTTCTAAAGTGTACTTTTTTTTCTATTCAGTTTAATTGAAAAAGTTATATACATAAATATTTTTTTAATTTCAACGAACAGCTCAATTGTATTATAATATTCATGCTCACCGTTCAACATATTACATATAACACACAATAATATAATAGGTATATTGATTGGAATTTGGATTATTAGAATATATGTTATAACGAAAAATAAGTTATTCACCGTTCAATAACCACTTTTATACTTTTTAATCTCGACGGTCCCGTCTTTTTACGAAATTTCGCTTTTGTACTTCATGTGCGAAACTTTTACTCGAACGATATTTTTTATTATACAACGCCATTTTGATTTACGCTATCGGAGTGTGCCTCTGTTTTCGTCCACGCTCCACTGCACTCTGATAAATTATACGAATTGTGTATACAACTATTATATCTGTTTATATATATGGTTTTTTTGTTTATCGAACATTAATGTAGCCAACGTCGATCCATCCAAAATTGTATACAATAACTGCGGCGACTAACGGACGATTTATAATAAAAGTATCAAAAATAACGGATATAATGGCTAAGTAATCGAGTGGATTACGTTCATCGTCGATCTCGCAAAAATATTTTTACATAAAATATAATAATTTAAGTTGGATCTTATTAACCCATCAATAATAACAATATCAATACGATTATATACACTGTGTAATATAGTATTCATTCGTTTTTAATTCAAATAACATCCTTAAAATAACTTTTTAAAACTCTATACTAGTCTATACATTATTCTATAAGAATAATTGATTGGACGAATAATAATCGACCACGTAATTATCGTATTCCAACCAGTTGATGATTATTTGATTATATTTATAAACTGACGGTTAGAAATAAATACATAGTGTTCAATATATTATTCAGCTTTCAAAAATTAAATATAAATAAAACAATAACGTATTATTAGATATTATCAATGAGATTATATTATACTCGTATTATGTTAAAAATATATATAGTAAATAATATTTAATATCGCATTTATTTATAGATGGGGATATAGATGATTAAATTGTGTTTATTATAAGCTAATCTATAAAAGTATGCCATTATAGTTACATGACTAAAAGAATATTACAGCTTGGTATAATAAAGAGAGCCGGTAGCCATGAAACTATTATAAGGGTATACTTATATGGAGCCCACTGTGAGGGACATTCAATTAAAAGATGAAAATAAAAATGACGATACAAAAGATTTAAAAGATGTGCTGTATTGGCTTGTTATATTAACACTGAGTATTTAATCTTTTACAACAAATAACTATAACTATTTTAAAAATATATTAAGTATAATGATTCTATTACGTATTATGTATTATATTATGTCTATAAAAATAAATACATAATTTGTATTTAATTATTATTAATAGAATTATATAAGTGTATAAACTAATACATCTTTACTAATACGTACTTTTATTATTTATTTATACAATTATTGTAATATACTATTAATATTAAAAAAATAAAAAATAAATATTGTTATTATTATTAGCAATAGTAGTAGTATTATATTTTACATGAATATAAAAAGAAGGTATAAAAATATGTTTTGTATTAAATAAAGTATGCAGAATGTTTACTGGTAAATCTTACTCTTTTCTTTCTTCTTCATTAGATTTTCATTCAAAATATTACATCAAATACACCGCAATGTGATGGATAAAATAATGTGGTATTTAATTTTAACTGGAATTTTCGACTTTATACTTGGGTAAGAAGTGTATTAGTTCATTGATGGAATTTTTTTATTAAGTTTAAATTGTTATATATTGTTTGGATTTACGTTTAACTGAATTACTATTTTCGGAATTAAATTGTTTACTGAATTTAGTAATATAATAATTGAAACTGCTACTGCTACTGCTTTTTTGGAAGTATATATCTAATTTATGTTATGCTACTTCTTGTTTCGGTACTATATAATTTATTGCTCAGCATACATATATATATATTACGCGATGGTTTATGCACTAAATTTGAGTTGAATTTCCATTTTGATCTTTTTATTCTACATTTGGCTAATAATTATTTGTATATTGGGTGATTGATTTTTTAATAATATTCAAAACTAAATTTGTGAAAAATTTGACTAGTTTATTGAGTTTTTTTATTTACATTTATTATTCTATTATGTCAGTATATAATTTCTAATCATTTTTTTTTTCATATTCCTTCTTGTACTAGGGTTATTTTTAGTGTTATATATTATTATTATAATTCAAATGTTAATTAAAAATCAATTTCCTAAAAAAACGATAACCTAAGGCTACATTAGAACTTTATATATATATACATAGTTGATACATTTAATTAAATGGATTTAGTCATGTAAATTTAGAAGAACTATACTATCATCTTTTAATATTCTTTCTTATTTCTTTCCTCAATGATTTATTATTGAAAAGAAAAAAATGGCAATGTGGTTCTTAAGCTCGTCTTTTTATTTAATACAATTAACGTTAATAGCGTTAATTATTTAAGCAAAGACATTGTCATTAAAGTACATTTGATTTAATGAGTAATATATTTTAAACGGTAATTGGTTTTTTTCCGCAAATTTAAACTTATGTATTGAAGATAGTATCAGATATGTAACACTGCTGGATCATAGGTTATTTATTTGTTTTTATGGTAATCGGTATATGTTGAGATAATTACAATTAAATTGTACTAAAACTTGTTTCTTAAAGACACATTGTATTTATTAATTTTTTTTTTTGTGTTTTTAAGCAATGAATTCACTATACATATTGTTCACAAAATCCGTTAAGATTCTTTTGTGTTTAATAAATATTTTATGTCATATTTATTTTGAAATTGTATGTTTGTGGATTAGTGTTTACTTAGACGATTCAATAATTTAGACTGCCAGATTTTTTTATCGATTGTTGTAATCATAATATCTAGTTTGAGACATAATAAAATATAAGCTTTCATTTTATTCATTTCTATACATGGTGGTGTGAATTTTTGTGATTTGATTTTAAAGAACCGTGGATTATGATTATAATGATTGAGCCGTACACGCGAACTATTTATTTTATTTTAATTTTTAAACACAAAAAATAGTAAAAACGAAATTATTGAATTAAATAGGAAACTACTAAATTATTACACACAATAAATATTATGCACACCGTATACATCATAATAAAATACATAGTTGTGTTGATGTTAAACGTCAAATAATAAAAAGCATAGTCACCTGTGATTTTTTTTTTTTTTTTTTAAATCCAGGAACAAATAATAAATATTAAAATATCACGCATTTATTTTGTACGTATTTTATTGTACGATAAAAGTAGGTATTATTATGATAGTATCGTTTGAAAAAAAAATGATCTCAACTCGGAAATCAAACATGTCGGTAGGTACGCGTTCGTGAAAATACACGCGGTATAAAAGCCAATACCGCGAGTGTTGGACGTCCGGCAGTATTTTAACAGGCCTTTGCCGTGACAAAACGAAAACGCTGGGCCGGGTGAAAAACGTCACCGCCCAATCGTGTTTCCAACAGTGTCACCGAATATTACGTATATTAGCAAATATAACTATCGTTACTAATTGCACCGTTGTCGTTTGTTTGGGTTGCAGATCATCGGCATCGTGTCCGTGTTCTTCATATGCGTGTCGATCCTGTCGTTTTGCCTGAAAACGCACCCGAACATGCGGGTGCCGATCATCAAGAACATCACGGTGAACACGTCGCACAACACGACCGCCTGGGTGCTGGACAAGACGCAGACGAACGCGCACGAGGCGTTCTTCTACGTGGAGTGCCTGTGCAACGCGTGGTTCACGTTCGAGATCCTGGTGCGGTTCATCGCGTCGCCGAACAAGTGCGAGTTCGTCAAGGCGTCGGTGAACATCATCGACTACATCGCCACGCTGTCGTTCTACATCGACCTGATACTGCAGAAGTTCGCGTCGCACCTGGAGAACGCCGACATACTCGAGTTCTTCTCCATCATCCGGATAATGAGGCTGTTCAAGCTCACCCGCCACTCGTCCGGGCTCAAGATACTGATGCAGACGTTCCGGGCGTCCGCCAAGGAGCTGACGCTGCTGGTGTTCTTCCTGGTGCTGGGCATCGTCATATTCGCCAGCCTGGTGTACTACGCGGAGCGCATCCAGGCCAACCCGCACAACGACTTCAACAGCATACCGCTGGGCCTGTGGTGGGCCCTGGTCACGATGACCACCGTCGGTTACGGCGACATGGCCCCCAAGACGTACGTGGGCATGTTCGTCGGGGCCCTGTGCGCCCTGGCCGGCGTGCTCACCATCGCCCTGCCCGTTCCCGTCATCGTGTCCAACTTCGCCATGTACTACTCGCACACGCAGGCCCGGGCCAAGCTGCCGAAGAAGCGGCGCCGGGTGCTGCCCGTCGAACAGCCCCGGGGGCCCAGGCTGCTGGGCCCGGGACAGCCGCCCCAGCAGCAGATCAACCAGCCCGGGTGCGGTTCGGGCGGCACGGGCGTCGGCGGCGGCCTACCGCCGAACGTGGCCGGAGCGCCGGTCAACACGACGGGCGTGCCGGCCGTCAACCGGCGGATGAACGCCATCAAGAGCAATCATCCCAAAGACGGAGCGGCACCCAAAGTCGGTGAGATATCTAACGCGCGGCGACGGCGACACTCGCGCGACATCTGACACGACGCGTTTTTATCGTCGTCGTGTCGTTGGCGTCGCTTTTATCGCGCCATTTTTTTTTTTTTTTGCTATTTTTTTTACTACCGTACCTGTAATTTATTATACGCGTTTCCCGCTGTTCCCGTCTTGGGGCGCTTTGGCTTTTGCGCAAAAGCTTTTATGTGTGTGCGTTTTAGTTTTTTCCACGTTGTGATACGTCATTTACACGTGGACTGGCACAACACTGGCGAACTTACGAGAATTCTGTAAGGTCTTTTTTTTTCTTATACTATATAATATCATGTTCCCCGTCGTTCTATTATTTTTATTGTGGCAAAACGTGTTTGGACCGGTCAGAAACAATATTTGTCAGGAAATTAATTGTTTTTATCAAACCATTAATTAACAATATTTAATTATTCGTTTACTATTAAAATTATTTTTTTTTAAAGGTGACTCTTATAATATTTTATGTAGCATTGTTTGAGTGTGGTAACAATACGAAAATACCAAATTATTTTATTACAATAAATAAAAAATAAATATTTTAAATCGGCTTATGCTTCTCTACCATATACCATAGTATATTTTATCATGTACACAATTATAAGATCAGCCTTTTGAGTGCAAAATTTACATCCTACACAAGTTGTTAACTACGAAAATACAGTCATGCTTAAAGTCATGCTTATAATAAATTATTAAGAAGTTTAAGTAATAAGTATATCTATTAAATTAGATGCATGTACAAGTAATTATTTACTATATTTACAATCTATCCGCTACTCAAACAATAAATAAATTTTTTATTATTGAATTATTTTTTAATCAATCTAAACGTGCCTTGCCCATTTTATTTATATACATTTATCGCTATACTACAGTGACTATATTTATGGTGAAAAAGCAATCCCTCCACTAATCCCACATAATTAAATTATTTTTGCGTTCTGCGTATTTTTTAGATAGGTTATTAAAAACTCTAGAAAAATTAAAATTAAATATAATTAAAATTTATATATTTATAAAGGTATTATTAAATATTTTGTATCATAAAATTTAATTTAATAATGATTTAACATTTCCAAAACAATTCATATATTCCGTCATAAGTAAAATAAGTATAGCCTATTGACTAATATAAATAGTTTAATACAAGTTTTTTACATTTGTCATGTTATAATATTTTAACTTTAAATAAAATAAATTGTTTAAAAATACCCTCTCGAAATTTTTATAGACGAAATATTAAGAATTAATTGGTGGTAACCTTCCTAATCAAACTGTCTTAATGACCGTTTTGCCATTTATGCGCTTAAAATTTAGTATTATATAGTATAATTTGTGTAATGGTTCATAAACTCGTGTTTCACAACTTAGTGATTTTAAATCACAGCGATGATTAATGAAGCTCGTAAGACGTTAGGTTTGCCAGTGTCATTGCTTTTTGCATTAATTATTGAACGGACACCGCGAGTTTAAAAACACTTTTCGTCCAAACTATAGATTATTGAAACAAGAGCATAACGTCTTGATAATAATTTTATAATTTATTACGCGTAAAATTTAAAATGAAAAATAAAATCTTCTAATTTATGGATTTCATAATTATATGCATTAATACGACTTTAGAAACTGACGAAAAATGGGTTTTTAAGCGAGCAATGTTAAATCAAATTACTTTACTGCTAATCATGCGCTTATAATTATGTGTAATGCTTACAGAAACAGAACCCGCCACGAGATACTAATCAATAACACATTCTGAACATATTAAAAACAAAACAAATCTACAACGGTATACATAATACAAACACTATACAATAACACATTAATTTTAATTTTTTTTTTCCTATTCGCACTTTGGTGATTTATTTGGTATTTTTAAATTCAATTTTAACATTAATAAGTATAATAATATAATTATCTTAGTTTTGACTGCAAAGTAGGATCACAGTAAAAAAAAAAACGTATATCCATTACCGCACTATGTTATTAAAGTGATTTCATTCACGATAAATTAAATAATATTATTATATTAATTCATCTAATAACTGATTTTTTCACCTATAATCAATGCAGTAAAATTTAGTGAAAATAAATGTGTTTTGAATGTATGATTACATATCACTAAACTAATTACATATAAATATAACAATAAATTAGTTTTTATAAGCAATTTATATGAATATAATATATATGTGTATAAGTGATACAGTATATTTTAGTTCAAAGATAAAGATAATAATATGGTTTAAGATATTTTGTTTAAAGATATTATTTTGACCTTAAATCTAAACTTATACCGTCATCATAATGTTTGAATTTATGTCAGACAGTTATTATTATTAGAAGTGGTATTTTATTTTAAAGAAATATAATAAGTTTGAACCATATCCGTCGTATAATAAGATGATTTGACGTGGAGAAAAATATTTTTGATTTTCCAATTTTCCACTTTTCTAGACATATCTATGACATAATAATATAATGTCCTGTACTTCAATATACGATTTGACGATGAAATCTTATTCTACTCCAATTGGCTGACGGCACCAAAATCATAAAAAGACATGCCATCTAATTTTAAAAATATTAATAGAGAGCATGGGATAAAATCGAAAATAAGATCACCACATCAACTGCAACGTCTTAAAGTGGATTGTCTCGGGGGCATTAATACCAGAGTGATTATGTGATAGTATATCTTATTTCTCGTAAACCAACATTCAATGACTAAAACAACTTATTTTCGTATATTATTATTTTAATAACCAGTAGTTATGACGTCTTTGGTTATTAATCGGTTAATGGTAACGTGACAGTTTATGAAAGAAATTTAACAAAAATGAAAAATCGTATATATTACCATTGTATATATATATATATATACTGAATGGTATTACTTACATAATTATTATCAAAAATAAAATAACTAGCTGGCTCATAATTATTCAGTATTTAACTATAAATATCGGAATATAATACCAGCATAACGTTATTTTTTTGTTATTTAGTACTTGGTTTAGTGGTTGTACAATGTGTATTTACACCAAATATTTTTTGTTATTTTTTGGGATCATCTGCAAATGTTTAATATTATATTTACATTAAATTTTTGAATACCTATTTGGTTTCGTCATTTCATCGTTGTTTAAATATTGCAAGGTCATCGTATACATAAATGTGTTTTTGTAATATTCTTTTGAGTTTCAACGAGAAGTATTGGTAACACGTACTGACAGATTTATTTCAACTTAAAGATATCATAGTTAGAGTTAAGGATATACGATACAGTAAAGACACGTCTTTGTCGTATATCAACTCACTTAAAGTCTTATTGCATGTATATATTTATGACTAAACGCGTATCTTTTGAAGACGTCATGTCTATTTACAAGATACATCAATAATCGCTGATATCATGTATTCATGTGACATAACATAATTTTATTAGGTCACGGTCAAAGTATGAAATCGGAGGTTGTAAGAGAATTTATTTTATTTTATTTTATTATATATAAGTATTTTAAATTTTTGTATAAACAAAAGACACCTCGATCTTTATCTAAACATAATGAATTTTCATAACATGTTATTATATGAAAGTATACTAGTACACGCTGTCTAGGGTCGAACCTAAACATACCTAGTGGAACGTACAAATTTACAACTTTCAGATTTACTATCTTTGGAATTTTATCGACATTAGAGCAAATATTATAAAATATATAAATGGACAATTTTATAAGAAACGCATGTATACAGCGATATAAACCGATGTTTGTTTTAGTGTTTTGAATTTGAAAAAAAAGAGTTATTACGCTTATAATATACGTCCCACTGCCAACGCATATCTCTGTCGATCGAAATACGTCGTTTAAAAATAAATGAAAACAAAATGCAGATGAGACTTATAGAAAGTATTTAGAAGTGCAAAACACAACACAATAAAATAATATAATACATAAAAGTATGAGTGCATAAAAATTTAACTTCTAACAGTCGTAAAAATGTCAAATCAATTTTGCGTATCGTCTGCGCCAATAGTGGCGGTGGAATTCTGTTTGTTATAAATTATAATTATTGTAAATTATAAAAAGATAAACGCAATATTCGTGTATTATACTATAAAAATATATTTTATGATCTATAAGTTATTAAGTTTGAATTAACAGTTTCGCCACGAAATATATTTTTAGTCCATGGTGTGATCCAACAATAGTGGCACAGTTCTAAAAACGATTTATAACCAATAGACTTTCATTCACGTAGTGGTCAACAGTGATCCGTATGACTGAAAAATCATTATTGTCATTATCGAGTTACTTTTTATGCGTTTTTATTTTTTTATTATTAATACGCATTTATTATTTACGTATTTTTTTATTTTTCAATATAGGTATTTTTTTAACGTTTTTCTACAACATGATATAAGGTGACCTTCAAGCACTACTAAATTTGAAAAATATGTAATAACATTTTAAAACGATGAACACAATTTACCTTTTAAATCAGGTTTAGAATATTTAAGTCATTAAAATTATACATATTATAATTCAATAAAAAAAAAGACTATTGTCGTTAATTTCACAAGATAAAAGTTAAATCCATACAATAATATACTATCATATAAAAAACATTCAGAAAAATAGAACTGCTTTTTCAATCAGCATTTGCGTAAAATAAATAAGGAAAATTGCTTAAGGACTCGAAGGAAAGTCATTGTTGGCCTGAAAAGTTTTTCTTAAAGTTTCCTAGGAGAAAAACCGCACTTAACTTCTGAATCCGATAAAAATATTTTTCCACGTGTTTAGTGACATTAACCGTCAGCCTTTATTATTTTTTGTGACGTGTGTATTGTATTTATTATAATAATGCAAATATCATAAATTATGATATGATATATATATTTTATTACGAAGAATATAATTTTGATACAGTGAAAAATGATGTCGAACCGGCAACCTTTGT